GTAGGGTGTGTATGTTGCGGTGTGTATGTTGCAGTGTGTAGGTTGCAGTGTGTACGGTGTGTATGTTGCAGTGTGTAGGTTGCAGTGTGTATGTGTGCGGTGTGTATGTTGCAGTGTGTAGGTTGCAGTGTGTAGGGTGTGAATGTTGCATTGTGTATGTGCAGTGTACATGGTGACACCCATTGTTTCGTGTTCTCCGTGTATGTAAATCTCCCCACTGTATTTTCCACTGCATGCATCGGATGAAGCGGGCTGTAGCCCGGGGAAGCCTGTGCTCGGATAAGGGCGCTCGCCTGTGGGGCGCCGCAAGTCCCCCAGTTCCTTCCGCGGACGCAGACGGACAGGGGGGCTGCCCTGGAAATGGACATTTCAGACCTCAGCTCGCGCCCAGCCCCGCCCCGAGGAGGGGGCGGGGCGAGAACGCTCGGAGGGGCCGCAACCATTGGTCCCGCCTGACGGGGCTGCGACCGTTGGTCGCCCAGCGCGCGCCTCTGTCGCCGCCCACCCCACGGGTGCGGGCGGAGGAGGGGCGTGGCCTCCGCGACGGTTACGCTCTCTAGGGGGGGGGGAGGGTTGTGTGCGGTCACGTGACGCAGACCCGCCCCCCCCCCCCACTGGCGGGGCGCGGCCGGCCCCGCGCTGCGATTGGCGGAGGCGGCGGCCGGGGCGGAGGAAGGTTCTGGAGGGCCGTGGCCAGCTCTGGAAGGTTCCGCCGCCCGCCGTATAAATGCGGGGCGGCGGCCGCGGCGCGGGGGCAGGGAGAGCGCCACGGGCAGGGACTAAGCCGCCATGGGCAAGGACTACTACCGCACGCTGGGCCTGGCCCGCGGCGCCTCGGACGACGACATCAAGAAGGCCTACCGCAAGCAGGCGCTGCGCTACCACCCGGACAAGAACAAGGACCCCGGCGCGGAGGAGCGCTTCAAGGAGGTCGCCGAGGCCTACGACGTGCTCAGCGACCCCAAGAAGCGGGAGGTCTTCGACAAGTTCGGCGAGGAAGGTGCGGGGGCTGCGGGCCGGTTGCCGCCAAGCTGGGGGGGGGGGGGGCTGTGTGGAGCTGGGGGGGGGGAGCGGAGTATCGGGGCGGGGGGGGCTGCCCCCGTAGAGCTATGGGGTGGCGAAGGGTGCTGGCTTGATGTGAGGGGGGGGAGAAGGAAGCGTGAATCCTGGGGCGCTGGGGGAAGAAGGGTGCTGCTGCTTTTCGGATAAAGTAAAGGGGGCGGCTGGCTTGGCCCGGGACAGTGGTGGACGGCTAAGGCTGGGTGGGCGAGGAGGGGAAATGAGGTGCCCGGGTTTGGGGTGCAGTTGTCGTGGGGACAGGAGGGCCTCTTTGGAAGGGGGGCTGGGGCAGACCGTATGTCCAGGGGGAGAAGGAAATTCTGGTGCAGCTCTGTAGCAGGGCCCCCTGTATGGGGTGGTGTGGGGTGCCATGGTGATGGGCATCCTGTGTAAGTGCTTTCCCTGCTGTGAGGTGCGGCTCTGAGACTGGGGAAGAGGGATATTATGCCCTAATGGGGCACACCTGAACTCTCTGGAGAGAGAGCTGGATATCCCTTTGCGCCTGGTATCCCCAGTACATACAGGATGATGGAGAGAGGCTCTCTTGGGGCAGCCCTGGGAGTGACCGAGAAGTAAAGTATTCACTAGTAGCTGGACTCTCTTATTTTCATCCTTTACCCTTGCTCCTGAAATTCATTGGTTTTGTCTGCAAGTCTGGAGAGGGGTGACTTTCAGGGGACAGTACTGAATCCTGGGCTTGTGTGTGTACAGGAAGGGGACACAACTTGACTCTGCAGCTTGTAGATGCTGTCAATGGCATGGGACGGCTAAGTGGCTGTGACAATGACTGTCAACAAACTAATCTAAGAGGAGACTCCTAGGAACAGGGAGATCTGGTACAGGGCTAGTTATGAAAGAAAGTAGAACTAGTTCCTACTGTCTGTAAGTGGATTTGGGAATTGGCCAGTTTCTTTATTATCAGCGTCCTGTTGCATTAATAACATAGCCTGTTAAAACTATTAATAGAATACCAGTGTCGGACTCTTTGGGAGAGACCTGCTCTGAAGTCCATGTGCAAAGCCTGGAGGCAATGTGCCTGCCTGACTTCCTCCAGATTAAGGAGTTAAACTTCTGCACCAAATCTCTAATTTAACATTAGTCCAGATTGTTTTTTCTAGGGCGCAGTCTCCTCCATTTAGATGACTCAAGCAAGGGAGCTTGCTTTGTACTTTCTCAAACACTGCTAGCTCGGCTAACTCAACTGTCAATATTTGTATTCAGCTGAAACTGGAAGAAGAGAAGGATTTGTTTAAAACTAATTTAGTTGATATTTCCAGCTAATAGAATTGTAGATAACTGTCCTTAAACTACTTCCGAAAAGTGGAGTCTGAGCTGCTTTACAGTTGCTAGTTTCCTGTGTCTTATATCTTGCATTTCCTGTAAATTCTTAGTGATTTCCCCTTAAGAGCTGATGTCTTAGTGGTAGTATGCTGATAGGCCACTTTTCTAGGACAGCCGAGACATGGCTAGAGAATGGCTTTGCTTGTCACTAGAAGATTCTAGTACGTTTGTTTGTTTGTATATGTTAGGTTATGAAACTTGCCTCAGTAACAGTGTTTCATTGAAGTAGGAAGAATTTAACTTTGCTGTCTCCAACCATTTCAGTTTAAATTATTTTTGCCTACAATGATTCTAAATCAGACTCTCTGTAGATAGAGATGGGAAGTTTATAGGCCAGCTAGGTTTGCTGCCATATTAAGGAGTACAGTTGGGTCAATTATAAAAAAAATAAACTGCTCTGAATAAGTTAATACTTTAGGAGACTCTGTAATTGGGGGAGATGAGAGCTCTTAAACATGACTCTAATTTCTGACTAGGGAGGTTTGAATCTTGACATCATTTTAAGATGACAGCAAACCTCTTTTTGGTGATGCATCTCAAACGTAGTCATGAATAAAAATCTCTTTTCAAAGATCTTAGGGTGGGGGAGAGTCTTGCAGTTAACAAAGCCATGGTGGACTGGACTCTTGATAAGAACTGAGTAAACTCAAGCTTTATGACTAACTACTGGATTATATTTACTCTGTTTTTCAGGACTAAAGGGAAGTGGTCCCAGCAGTGGTGGATGTGCCAATGGTGGTACCTCATTCAGCTACACCTTTCATGGAGATCCTCATGCTATGTTTGCAGAGTTTTTTGGTGGGAGGAACCCATTTGATACCTTTTTTGTACAAAGGAATGGAGATGAAGACATGGATGTTGATGACCCTTTCTCCACTTTTCAGATGGGGGGCTTTAGTAATATGGGCTTCTCTCGCTCCCGCTCGGGCCATGAAAGTATACGCAAAAAACAAGACCCTCCTGTCATTCATGATCTGAGGGTTTCCTTGGAGGAGATCTACACTGGCTGCACCAAGAAAATGAAAATCTCTCACAAACGACTCAATACAGATGGCAAGACCACGCGGAATGAGGACAAGATTCTGACCATTGAAGTCAAACGAGGGTGGAAAGAAGGAACAAAGATTACTTTTCCCAAAGAGGGAGACCAAACAGCAAACAACATTCCAGCTGACATTGTCTTTGTTTTAAAAGACAAGCCACACAATGTCTTTAAGAGAGATGGGTCTGATATTATTTTCCCAGCTAAGATCAGCCTCCGTGAGGTAAGCAAAGGTGCCCGATTCAGTATGGGACTCTAATGGGTGGCTTGGCTTGGGTTTTAGATAGTGGGAGTGACAAATGGGAATACTGAGATCTCTTCTCTCCCCTACACTTCGTTCAGTATCTGGCTTGAATCCATAATAGGATACCTGCCTAACTGCTCTCTGGTCTGTATAAAATAAGTTAGTAGCCTCAGGATACTTCCTTCTGAAGCAACCAGAGGGCATAAGTCACCATTAGAGATGGCAGATCACGGGCAAATTACTCTCTTGAGAAAGTGAACTTTCAACATCCAAACTGACCCTGCTGATCCATCAATGTGGAAGGGTTGCACAACTGTTTGTGGTATATTTGTACAATTTCCAGCGCTGTTGATCTGGTGCCTGTATCAGATTAACTCAGCAGGATTCAGAAGAGCCTAACTGGAATAAACAGGCCATCGCAATGAAACGCTTTCTCTTTGGTTGTTCGGGAAATCTGCTAGAGATTGTTTGCAGACAGTGTTTTGATTGTCCTGTTTTTATACTTAGGCCCTGTGTGGTTGCACAGTCAATGTGCCGACGCTGGATGGCAGGACCATTCCAATGGTATTTAAAGATGTCATTAAACCTGGGATAAAGCGGCGAATCCCTGGAGAGGGCCTCCCATATCCCAAGAATCCAGACCAGCGAGGGGACCTTATTATAGAATTTGAAGTAAAGTTTCCAGACAGAATTCCACAGGCTTCCAAAAGTGTACTAGAGCAGATCCTGCCAATATAGCAAGGCTGCTCATGGAGAACTGAAATAAGGACACTTCCAAAGCAAAAGGTTTTTGGACCATAACCAGGACTTCAGGGTTTCTCTTTAGTGGAGGTTGTTGACTTTCACGCTAAGTATCTTTTTCCCCAAGAGTACCATCTTCAAAATTGTGCATTCACTTTTCAGTGACTCTATAGTCCCAGATCATCACTTGAAGTATTTACATCAGTGAGCAGTTGCTTGTGGGAGGAATCTGCAGAACATCTCATGGCCAAACCTTTGTTCTGGTGACCAGTTTCCACCCTAGTGCTCAATGTGCTGCCTTCCCTTAACTGGTTACCCATAGACTGGGCATCTGTTTCATTTCATCTCATGCAGACCTGTAGTTCCTCCTTTGGAAAGGGTGAAACATAAATCTAAAACTGGACTTGCAAGTAAAACAATCTCTAACATCTTGCCTTTGCTGTTGTACTGTGTTGTGTCCCTTGTCACTTCCTACACTTAAGGACTTTCCTACTGGGACACTCTTAAATATTAACTGTTTTTAGTTCCTGTAAGTTGTCAATGTCTTGCTAAGGGTTTTCTTAACAGTTTTTCCTTCTGTCGATAGTGTTAGAAGGAAGCCACCCTGTGTTTGACCTTAATCTGTGACTCTGGAAACATTAGAGAAGTCCTGATGTCTTTCAAAATGTGAGCCTGAATGAGTAAGCCCTTAGGTTTAAACTCATCATACATTGGCTAACAACCAAAGTTAACAAGGTCTGGTCTAGGAAAAAATATGCAAAGGAAAATGGATCTTAAGTATAATACTCTGAATCATTCCCTCTATGAAAGTCTTCCCCCTCACACAGACATTTTAAGGTCTCTTATCCTGGTTCCTGGTCATGGGCTGAACAAATATGGGGCAGCCATTTCTCATTCCAGGTACACTGTACCTAAACAGGATGTTGAGTTTCCATCATCCTGCATGCAGGGTCAGTGTCAAAACTTATTGTGTTAAAGACTTACTCCATACACTAATGGACTCTGGACTTTTTTCAAAGGACTCTGATCCTCTGAATAGGTAGCACCACCAGAGTTATCCTTTTTGATAAAAGGGTTTTTGTTCCTGATATAGGAGCACAGTGGCACTTCCTGTACATATTATATATTTTTTGTATACATTTGTGTAAAGTTGATGTGTGTAATGCAGTAGAGCAGCTTATATTTTATAGGATTGAGTACATTGATAAAGATTCATGAGGGGGTTGTGAGAGAACATGCTCTCTATCCAATGTGGGAGCATGAACCCAGAATGCACTGGAAACTTAACTTGTAATGTTACTGCCATGATAGACTAATGTCAAAGAGCTGCGCCACAATTAAAGTCTCCTTAACTGAAGAAAAAGATCTAGGCATGTGTGGGGGCAGGGTTGGGTATCTGGAGTGAAGGACTTATCTAAACATGTCATTACACTTCAGTGTAATGGGAAAATGCAGTTGAACACTGGTTTAGTCACTAAACACCCATCTTTTGCAGAGTGTATTAGCACTAGTGCTTTTCACTGAGCTACGATGGTACCCATGGTGGAATTACTAGCTCACAGGGCTGGGGTCTAGGTTTTTACCCTCCAGTGCGGTCTGCGTTCTTTATGCTGCTTTCGGTGTTACCACCGCTGGAACAGCTCCACTAGTCCTGAACCAGGGGTGGTGTAAACATGGCTTAATGGCTTCATTAGAGTTGTGGAGCACATAACTTTCCCATAAAGCTTAGAGCCAGGGGCTGTGAGGAAACTAGTCAAGCTAGTCCATGCATTCTATCCCTCCTCTGTCTTGCGTGACAAACATACTTTGGGAAGGTGTTCTATACCTTTTTTCTATGGGAGAGCTCCCACGTGCTAGCACCATGCTGCTTCAGTTGTCTGAGTTGTGGTAAGCTACCACCATCTCTTCTCTTGATGATCATCTTCTCCCCCAGAAGGATGCAATTTCAAAGTGGATGTCTTGAATACTTGTGGTGGCTTAAAAAGCAAAGGGCTGCAGACTGTGCTCCATAACAAAGATACTGCTGTTTAAAACTACTCAACTCATGCCTGTTTCTACTACCGTTTACTGACCATGCTTGGAGCTCCAGGGACCACTAGAGGTGACAGGGGCACCATGCCGCTCCCTGCCCCTGCCAGGACCAGACCATCCTGCAGCTCCTGACCACTGTAGTCTGAAGTCACAGAGGTAGCTGGAAGTCACAGATTCTGAGACTAAATTGAAGCCTTATGTAAGCAGTCACCTGTGGGCTTGAAGCTCTGATCCCTCGTGGTCCCTGTGGGGCAGAAGCCCTGAGGCTATGGGTGGAGTTGGGATGTGGAGGGCATTTTTCCCTCACTCCCCAAAAAAAAACCCAGCACAAGAGCATGGCAGTCTCAGGGGCAGCTCTACAACTTCCCCCCACCCCATCTCCTCTCCTTGGCCGGGTCAGAGGTGGGAAGCTGGAGCAGGGCCCTGAGAGACAGCTGCTACTCTAGCTGGTGCCATGGAGCAGGCAATGGCAGCGTTCCCCCCTCTCCTGGTGCCCCACGTTGCAGCTGGTTTTCAGCTTTCCGCCCCTTTTGCTCCTGCGGCCACAGCAGGTAAGAGTCCCCCTGCGCCGGGGGGCCCAGCTCAGTGGCTGGCAGACCCCTCAGGGAACAGGGACCATAGCAGAGCCTGCCAGCACATAGCCCCTAATACCCCTCTCCCTATACCTTGAGGCTATGCCCTCCCTGCAGCTTGAGCTACCCCATGTATGCACAGCCCCTAGCTACCTGCTTCCTACACCATAAGCTGTTTTCAAACTTTTTGAGGTAAGCTCCCCACCTCTGCTAGGCCCTTGAGTTTTTATTGCATGTCAAGGGGGGGCCTCAAATTGAAAAACATTTAGAACCCTTTCTCTAATGGAGTTGTAGAAGAGCATGTGAGCTTCTTATGAAAGAATCAGGTGTTGAAGAGGAATTGGTTGTACTTTACTACTATCATTTTATCAGATGGTGTTACATAAAACTTCCTCTTCCACTCCTGTTTGTAATATACTGTATCCCTGTCTCCCTTACAACACTGGAAAAGTACAAGTAGGGAAGTATTTAGGTATCTCAGCTGGCAGTTTCTCCCTTCTTTTCCTATCAAGATCCACCATTTTTGCTCTCTCGGTTTATGGCCCTAGGGCTTCTTTCAAGAGTCTGCCTTGCTCTGTCATCACCTGGTCTTTACTGGGTGCTTGATATTCATGGCACTTTCTAGTGCCTGTCCTCAATAGCTGCTAGTTCTGGTCCTCCTCCTTGGCTGTAGGCACTAGTAGCTGCTCATGTTTCTTCCTTCAGCACAGCAACCCCTACTGGATAGAGCTAGACTGACTACTTGCATCAGTGTGTTCCTTGTACAGAAATGACTGGCTGGACTTTAGAAGGAAGCAGTGTGACCTACTTCTCTTCCATGAATAAGTTTGAGAACTTGTTCCAGCCCAGCAGTATTACCTCATTTGTACCTATACAGCTGGAAAACAAAAGCCTGCTCCCCTTAGGGTGACAAATGGAGCGAGAGCAGGAAGTTGGGGCAGCACAAATACTTTCTCTTAAGTTTTCAGAGCTAGTTCACCCCACTGCTCAGGCCATGGTTTCTATGGGGGATTCCATGTAGCAATCTGATGTCCATGTCCCAAGCTCCCATATGTTAAGGCTGTCAATCAAGGGCCCTGTATTAAGCCAGGCTTCAATCTTCTTTCCCCTCAGCAGTCTTCATGAGTAGAAACTTTCCACAATGAAATGATACAAATCCGACTCCTGTCATATTCCCCCACTTTTTTTAGTGTATATGTAAATGCTTTAGTGTGCTTTATATTCCAGGAGGCCCTGGCATAGGGTTGTTGGGTGAAGGGTTAGAGAGCAGAAGATGTAATTTGCTGCTGTCTAGCACATCACAAGCATTTCATAAACAACTGACCCATAAGAATTGTCCGCTATTAATAAGGCTCATGTGCAGCTACCAGGCCTGCATGCCCGTGGAAACTACCTGAACCGGCATGAAATGCACGCTAGTCTAATGCATCATAAGAGCATTGCAGCTGGGGGACTATTGTATCAAATTCCACCTATGAAGAATTAAGGTGGATGTAATGGTCCATCCCACCCAGATTAGATATGGTCCTCAGACTCCCAGCAACCCCCTAGCTCAGCCAGTCAATGGTACAAAATTGAGAGGCACTGTGCTTTGTGTTTATTTTATTATAATAGTGCTTAGGGGCCAACTGAGAATGGGGTCCTACTGGGTTAGGCGCTGTGCAAAACCCTGCAGAGCTTACACTCTAAACAGACAAACTACATACAGTGGGTGGAGGAAGCAGTATAACAAGCAGAGTGAACTATGTGAGAACAGCAAACATATCAGTTTCATGAGTAGTTTTTATTTTGGGTGGGTTTAGCTAGGAGGGGATCAACTAGATGGGAAGGGAAGGGAGAGGGCAAGAGAGAAGAGGTGTAGGTGGCCAGCTAAGGTGAAAAAATGGGGCAGGGAAAGAATGTTGGAGCAAACAAACCCTCAGCATTCAAGCACAGAAAATCCACTAAAAGCTAAATTTTATTATTAAAAGTTCACTTTAAAAAGTGTCAGGTAGTTAAAAGTGCTTATTATTGTAAGCTTTGAAATGCAAAACTGTAATGTCACAACCTTGAATAACTGCATCCCACCTGTATCTAATATCTGCTAGAACAAAAGGCACTAGCTACCAAAGTGAGGGAATGTCAAATGCACACCTCTCTTACTAGCTTGCAAACAGTACAATTATTTGTGTGTATTACAGTAGGGCCTAGGAGCCTCCAACTACAAAATGGGAACCTAGTCCATCAGGTTGGGCAGTCAAAGGCAGTTGAAGATGGGGCTAGCCAAATCGCTTCCTTGTATACTGTTGCCCAGGAAACTTACATGCCTTAACTGCATCAGCTGGATGATCAGGGGATCTTTGACTAGGAGCCCCAGCCCACAGACCAGTTTTCAGAGTAGCAGCCGTGTTAGTCCGTATCCGCAAAAAGAACAGGAGTACTTGTGGCACCTTAGAGACTAACAAATTTATTAAAGCATAAGCTTTCGTGAGAGTTCACTTTATTGGATGCATAGAATGGAACATATAGTAATATATATATATATATACATACAGATAAGTTGGAAATTACCCTACAAACTGTGAGCGGCTAATTAGTTAAGATGAGCTATTATCAGCAGGACCCCATTGTACTATATGCTGTACAGCCTCTGAACACTCAGTCCCTGCCCCCAAAGAACCAAAAATCAGATAGATGGATACAGACAGGCAAAAGTACAGGGAAGCAGTGACCTGAAGTAAGAGCTCTGTGTAAACTTGAAAGCTTGTTTCTTCCAACAGAAGTTGGTCCAGTAAAAATATTACTTCACCCACCTTGTCGCTCCCATTCTGGGACCAACATGGCTACAACACTGCAAACCAGGAAGCAAAGAGACCGTACTGGTCAGCATGCTAGGCTGTGGACTCCGCTCATTTTGGGGATAGGAGGGGACAAAGCACCTGGTACAGGTACTCCACCAATACCTTTGCCTGCTAATTTCTGATTGGCTAGTTTCGACCTTCTTGCTTGTGATTGGCCAGGGGAAGCTGCTGGGGCAGAAGTGGTTAGGAGGCATTTGCTGCCAGCTCCCCTCCTTCTTCAGGTTTCAGAGTAGCAGCCCTGTGAGTCTGTATCCGCAAAAAGAACAGGAGTACTTGGGGCACCTTAGAGACTAACCAACTTATTGGAGCATAAGCTTTCGTGAGCTACAGCTCACTTCATGGGATCCTTCTTCAATAGGATCTCGCTATTCCACCTCTGAATGGTATCTCCCACTCTCCCTAGGGCTTCTGGGTGGTATCTCCCTTCCCCCCCCCATCTCCTGGGATGGTCTCTCCCTTGCTGTTTGGATTGGACGCTTCCATTGCACTGTGGATTCGGAACCTGCCCGCCCAGCTCACCGCCCCATCCCGCAGAGCGAGCTGTGATTGGCTAGCGGGTCTTCGCGGTGTGCTGTGATTGGCTAATGGGCTTGGCATTGCTCCCGCCTTCCCTCCCTCCCCGAGCGACAGGCCCCGGCTGCGCCCGGCCGGAGTTTGGAGGAGGGTCGGGACCGGCTCTGTGGGGAGGCGGACGGGGTGAGTCGGAGGGGTGGGGTCCAGCTCTGAGGAGGTGCCCGAGGGTGGGGGATGGGAGCGGGGGGGGTCCAGCTCTGAGGGGGGGGGTCTGCTCAGAGCGGGGATGGACGGGGGATGTGCCCGAGGGGGGGGGTGGGGGCGGGGGGTCAGCTCTGAGCGGGGATGGGAGCGGGGGGGGTGGTTGGGGGGGTGGGGGGGGGAGGTGCCCGTGGGGGGGATGGGAGCGGGGGGGGTCCAGCTCTGAGGGGGGGATGGGAGAGGGGGGGTCCAGCTCTGAGGGGGGGGAATGGGAGCGATGGGGGGTCTAGCTCTGAGAGGGGATGGGAGCGGGGGGAGGTGCCCGAGGGGGGGATGGGAGTGGGGGGGTCCAGCTCTGAGGGGGGATGGGAGCGGGGGGGGGGGTCTAGCTCTGAGTGGGGATGGACGGGGGGAGGTGCCCGAGGGTGGGGGGATGGGAGTGGGGGGGGTCCAGCTCTGAGGGGGGATGGGAGCGGGGGGGGGTCTAGCTCTGAGAGGGGATGGACGGGGGGAGGTGCCTGAGGGTGGGGGAATGGGAGGGGGAGGAAGGGGATGCTGTTGCTGGGAATGGGGTTCCAGCTGGAGTGTGTTTGAGGGGGCTCAAGCTCGGTGCGAGAGGTGGGAGGGGGTGCCGTTGCTGTGTACTTAAGGGGGGGCATTGGTGGCATGGAAGGATGGGGGTGCCCCCTGTGGGGTTTATGCCGGGGGGGGGCAGAGGCTCACAGTACATGTGGGATTCACTGAAGGCTATGAAGTAGTGGGAATAGTACCCAGGAGTCCTGGCTCTCAGTACCCTCCTGTAACCACCATACAGAGCTCCCCCCTTTGTGCAAATGCATAGGGGTCCCAGCCCTGCAGTCTTGTGCAGGATACAATGCATGTTTGAGGTGCTGGGCTGTACTTGGAGGCCAGGGACAACAGTTAAAGCAGGAAACTGGGTTCCAGGTCTCCTGGTTATATTCCCAGTGTCATCATCAACTCCCTGTGTGACCAGGAAATCTAGTTTGTACTCAGAGTAGCAGCCGTGTTAGTGAGCTGTAGCTCACGAAAGCTTATGCTCAAATAAAATGGTTAGTCTCTAAGGTGCTACAAGTCCTCCTTTTCTTTTTAGTTTGTACTCAGTTTCCCTATTTGGAAAATATGGGTAAAGAGACTTGGGAGCCTGGTGGGGTGAGTGGGGATTAATTGATGTATGTCTGAAGCACTTTGAATTCTGCTGATCAGAGGTTCTAATATAGAGATGGGCTGTGTGGAATCTCCAAATGCCCATGCAGAACGGGGGACAGCACCCTGTAAATTCGGCTTGGGTTTGGTTTAGGTTCTTCTCCACCCCCCCCCTTGTGAAAGATCAAAAGGTTCTGACTTAAGTTCAAAGTTTACTGTGCAAAATCTACTGGAGATTTCCCATGTTTGCTTGTCTATTTAGTATCTTTTAGCCTGTTCCTCCCCTTACCTTTTCCTATCTAATGAAGGCAGGTGGTGAGAGGTTTGCAGAGGAGTGTCTGGTGCATAGTGCAGCAACGGGAACTAACATCACCCTTTTAGGTGTTTGTTTCTCCTCTGAGTGTGACGTGGGGCATGAGGGCAACACAGTGAAGACTACAAATGCTACAAAACAAAAGAAATAATCATTCCTAGTGTTGATCATCCCTCAAATGAGTTCAGCAACCTCTACTGCCTGAGGAGTCGAGGAAAAACACAGCAGCCTTTCTACTACAGGTGGTAAACCACTGAATTAATTATCTCCCAAGTCAAATCCCGCTCCATGGTCATTCGGGCTCCCAGAGAATGGTGGGGAATGCTTGGGTAGGTGTGTTCACTGAGGGCAACGGGTGCCTGTATCTGCTGTTCTTCCCTGTATCTGCTGTTCTAGCTCTGGCGGATCATGTTATAATCTCTTGTCAGCCAGGCTGGGGATTAGTTTTCTCTCACTGCCACAGAAAGGTACTAAGGACTGCTGGTGTTTGCAGCACTTGCAGTTTAGCCGGCGGGGGTGGGTTAGAAGGAGAAGAGGAAGAGGTTAGTAGAAGTTCGATATGCATGATTGAGCAGCCAGAGCCCAGTCACTGAATGCATAGAATTCCCTTTATGGCCATGAACAAAACCATCCATGTGTCATTTTGCCCTTCAAATTCCTGAATTGCCAGGTGGTGCTGAATTAAGCCTCATGTGAGAAGTAGGGAAGTATTGCTCTCCAATTTCAAAAGGGAAAACTGAGGTACCTTTTGTGGGGATGTATGTGAGGGGAAAGTGACTTGTCCAGCATGTTAGTGAGTTAGGCTGGAACTGGGCATCTGAACTGAGATCTCCTGAGTCCCATGTCTGTGTTTAGCCACAAGATCAGTCAGGACATACAAACATGCACACAGTGCCCTACTTTTACTGGGCAATTTGAGAATCCTTATTTTTTATCCCATCTGATGCCTCTAGGCCCCCCACCCAGCTCTGTCACCACAGAGGGGTCACTAGTCACAAGTTCCTGGGGCAGGAAACTGCTGCCACTTTAATGGGCAGCACCATTTGTTATCTCCTTCCACTTGGCAGCAGATGGCCCCAGACCCAGCAGCTGGGGAAAGCCCCCTGAGCATTTCCAGCCATCAAATTTCCTTATTCATCTGAATTGTGAATCTTTTTTTTTTTTTTCCTAACAACTTTGCCCTAAAGTTCCAAATGCTCCTTAGTCATTCTGTATTTACTTAGCAAACGCTCTGCAATCTAGAAGGGAATAGCTTCACCCTCTGCTGAAAATGCAGCCACTTCTGTGGTGGAGCATAACAGTTGTTCAGCTGCTCGGTCCCCATGCACACAAACAAAACAAGTGTCTATATAATGTCTTTATGGTATTAGCATTTCAAAAGCTGGGCAGGATAGCTGCAAACGGAACTCTAGTTCCTCCCTAAATGCAAAGACAGGACTGTGAATAGCTGTACAAGGAAGTTGTAGAGCAGATACTGGCAGTGTTATCCTGCCTGCCCCACAACTGTCGGCTGTGTGTTAGACAAATAAGTGATCTGGCAGGTGCAAAAGTTAGGCATAAAGAGGTAGTAGTCCTAAATTGATTTAAGCGAGTAATACCCTGAAGTTGAAACTTTAAAATAGGGGGTCAATTTATCTGGCCGCTTGGGTCCTGTAAGAACTTGGCCTCCTGCATTTTTTGTTTGTTGCTTTTTAGAATAGTTTGAATGAGTTAGTTATGGTAGGCCTGGCGATAGTAAGACAGGCATTTAGTGCTGAGTCTGAGTCTGTCTGAGCAGGAGGTCTCAGCTGGGTCCCAAGATCCCCAAACAGTGTGGTGCTAAATGGCTGTTTAGCACCAGTAAGTGAAGAACCATGTCCCAGGAAACTAGGATTTAAAATGGGCAAAGAAGGCTAGGTAAGTTCTGTCTCTGTGTGAGTGATAGACACAGTGAGACAGGAAGCGAAGAGCTGGAGGTGAAACTAGTAAGCATAAGGAAGAGGAGGAGACGGGGAAGGGAGGAAGTAGGGGAAAGATCGATGTGGGCACAGAATAGGGTATAAGGAGGATCCTGAGTGAGCTGGGCAGCTAGGGGGAGAACATGGATGTAGAGAAATTCTGCAGCATGAGCTGAATCCTCTCTTGGGGAATGCTGTTAGGAGCTGTGGGTTCTGGGCTGGGTGAGGGGGGTGGTGGGTGGTAGTTCTGGAGGCATCTTTCTGCCCTGGGTGGTGCTGGGATCCATTGGACTGAGCAGGTTCCTGACATGGAGTAATCACTGACAGGCTTGGCTGAGTTCCTCTGCCATTACACCCTCTGAGGAACGCCCAGTAGCCGGTTTCTCTGCTCTGAATCAGCCTGCCAGGGTGCGCTCCACCCTCATTCCAGAACAGAGACGTTGGAGGCTCCCGGTCTGGAAGACTCCCGCCAAGGCTGCCCCTTCCTCCTCCATGTACTTGCTTCAGAGGTCAGGGCATTCCTAGCCAGCAGCACCAGGATCCTCAATCCTGCTGAGCCCCTCTGGAATCCCACTTCCCCTGGGAGTATCCTTGGAGTGTAAGGGTCAGTATGCATGTCCTGGCAGCAAGGAAAGCTCTGTGGGCCTGACATAGATTTTTCTTTGTCTGGGAGGCAATTGGGCTGGCATTTCCCTGTGGTTTGCTCTCTGCAGTACTCTGTCGTCTCTGCTCGCCAGCAGGGCCTGGGGGTTTTACTTTGTTTCCAAATGGCAACTATGCTGATTTTTATTTTTTATTTTTAAATCATTACTCGGGGTCAGGCCCAGTGGGTGTTTTCTGCCTCCCCAGCAGCTCAGCCCTGAGGAGCAGGACTCCGGGGTTTATACTTTTCATTCTCTGCCCATACCCCACACGCACTGCAGCACTAGGAATCGTGTGAACAGCCCAGCACCACTGGAGGGGCTTTGGTATCAGAAATGCTGCTTCCCCTGTGCTGGCTAGTGGAATGGAGATGCAGGGCCACTGCTAAGCCATGAGATCACTTGATGCTTACTCATTAGACAGCTTTGTACTGAATGTGTTTTCATAGCAGGCTAGAAATACCTATGGCTACTTCTCTCTCCATAACTTAGAGCTGTGCATGGGGGTCTGGCAGGAGCTGCCACTTGACTGCTGGCTCCCAGCAGGAGAGCACTGGTCTGGGGCTGTACAGTAGGACTTGGGGGAGGTAAGCAAGGGGCAGGGAGCTTCCAAAGCTGTCACTCCTCTTTTTACATTATTCTGGTTAATTTTAAAAGTGGCTAAAGCCCTGCAGATGAAACAGAATTGAAACAGGTCTTGTCATGCCACAAGTGTGATTCCCCTACCTTTCAGGCTCCCTGATCTGGGGCTGGATTGGAGCTGATGCCCTAGAGGAGGAATGCTGCGTGTCCCATTCCCTGACAGCCTGTCAGCCAGTACTCCTAGGTTTTTGTTGTTGATTCCAGTGCCGATTTCCTACCATCTTTCCCCTTTGCTTCCTACAGGTCTCTCCTGTGGGTGACTGAAACTCCCTGCTGTCTGGCCACTCCTCCCTCATGCCGCTCGGACTAGGCCGCCGGAAGAAGGCCCCTCCGCTGGTAGAGAATGAGGAGGCTGAACCCATTCGTGGCAGCTTGGGTGGGGTGGAGGTGGGCAGTGGTGGCAGGGTGGCAGCCCTGCAGCCCGGCCTGCCGCCGCCTCCTGCCAGCCTCCGCCCTCGACTGGTGTTCCACACTCAGCTGGCCCATGGCAGCCCCACTGGCAGGATCGAGGGCTTCACCAATGTCAAGGAGCTGTACAGCAAAATTGCAGAGGCTTTCAAGATCCCACCAGCTGAGGTAGGTGCTGAGCACCCAGGCTGCAGGGTGGGGAGCTCAGAGAGGATGCCCTGCAGCCTGGCAGTGTCTAGCCAGTCAATGGGGTGGGCCCTCTGCGTTGGTGCCTTCTCTGGCTTCGTGGGCCAGCACCCTGTGTCAGGCTGTGCTGTGCCCTTGGCGTTTTGCAGGTCAGTGACTCTGGGCTCAGTGGCTACATGCACTCTGAGGTCTATGCCCAATTGGGTTGAGCCCAGTGGGGCCGGTGCTAGAATCCTGACATAACCTTGGGGATATGGGGCCTTCCCAGCAGAGATGCTGAGTGGGCAGTGGGGGAAGCTGTGGTCCCCAGAGTTCCTCACTCTGTATCTCTCTTCCTGCCTCCCAGGTGATGTTCTGCACCTTAAACACCCACAAAGTGGACATGGACAAGCTGTTGGGTGGCCAGATCGGTCTGGAGGACTTCATCTTTGCACACACGAAGGGCCAGAGGAAGGAGGTGGAGGTCTTCAAGTCCGAGGAGGCCCTGGGTCTGACCATCACTGACAATGGAGCCGGCTATGCGTTCATTAAGGTACAGATGACTGACCTCTGCTCACACCATCCTAGTGCCCAGGACGCCCTGTCACTGGCTGATTGGACTGTGGGTGGGGTGCATAGTCTGAGAGGAGGGGTGCTCCTCCCAGACGCACACTATGGTGTCTTGTCTTGCTCCTTCCCTTCCTATCTGTCTCTCCATCCCCAGAGAGCTGCAGTGTGAGCCCCCTCTGGGAGAATAGAAACCTCAGCAGCAAACCTGATCACGTGGAGCTCCTAGTCCCAGAGTCTCTGAGCCATGTGAACAGTCATACTGGACCAGACCACTGGTCCATCTAGCCCAGTATCCTGTCTTCCAACAGTGGCTGGTGCCAGATGCTTCAGAGAAATACCTTCAGAGGGAACAAACAGAATGGGGCAATTTCAAGTGATCCGTCCCATCGTCCAGTCCCAGCTTCTGGCAGTCAGAGATTTAGGGACACCCAGAGCATGGGGTTGCATTCCTGACCATCTTGGCTAATAGCTATAGATGGACCTGTCCTCTATGAACTGATCTAGTTCTTTTTTTGAACCCTGTATAGTTTTGGCTTTCACAGCATCCACTGGCAACAAGTTCCACAGGTTGACTGTGTGTTAACTTTGTTTTAAACAAGTTGCCTGTTAATTTCATTGAGTGACACCTAGTTCTTGTGTTATGAGAAGAGCTAAATAACACTTCCCAATTCACTTTCTCCACTGGTCATGATTTTATAGACCTCTGTCATATCCTCCCTTAGTCGTCTCTTTTCTGAACAGTCCCAGTCTTTTTAATCTCTCCTCATATGAAAGCTCGCTATCCCCCTAAATAATTTTTGTTGCCCTTCTCTGTACCTTTCCCAATTCTAATATATCTTCTTCGAGATAGGGCAACCAGAAATGCACCCAGTATTCAAGGTGTGGACATACTGTGGATTTATATAGTTGCATTATGTTATTTCCTGTCTTATTTTCTGTCCCTTTCCTAATGGCTCCTAACATTCTTTTTAGCTTTTTTGACTGCCGCTGCACATTGAGCAGATGTTTTCAGAGAACTATCCACGATGACGCCAAGATCTTTCTTGCGTGGTAACGGCTAATTTAGACCCCATCATTTTGTATGTATAGTTGGAATTATGTTTTGCAATGTGCATTACTTTGCATTTATCAACATTGAATTTCATCTGCCATTTTATTACCCAATCACCCAGTTTTGTGAGATCCCTTTGTAACTCTTTGCAATCAGCTTTGGACTTTACTCAAGATAGTTATTTTGTATCATCTGCAAATTTTGCCACCTCACTGGTCAATCCTTTTTCCAGATCATTTATGAATGTTGAACGGTACAAATCCTTAGGTAAATAGCAGGGTCCCCCTTCTCCATTGTGAAAAATGACCATTTATTTCTACCCTTTGTTTCCTGTCTTTTAACCAGTTAATGATCCATGAAAGGACCTTCCCTCTTATCTCATGGCTACTTACTTTGCTTAAGAACCCTTGTCAAAGGCTTTCTAAAAGACCAACTGTACTATATCAACTGGATCACTGTGGTTCACATGCTTATTGACCGCCTCAAAGAATTCTGATAGAATGGCGAGGCATGATTTTCCTTTACAAAAGCCACGTTGACTGTTCCCTCACATATCGTGTTCATCTGTGTGTCTGATCATTCTTTTCTTTACCCTGTTTTCGACCAGTTTGCCTGGTAGTAAAGTCAGGCTTACTGGCCTGTAATTGCTAGGATCATCGCTGAAGCTTTTTAAAAAAAATTGATGTCTCATTAGGTGTCCTCCAAATATCTGGTCCAGAGACTGATTTAAGTGGCAGGTTATATACCACAGTTAGTTAGTTCTGCCATTTCATATTTGAGTTCCTTTTAGAACTCCTCAATGAATCCTATCTGGTCCTGGTGACTTACTGCTGTTTGTTTTATTTATTTGTTCCAATAGCTCTTCTATTGACACCTCAGTCTGGAACAGGTCCTCAGATGTGTCCCCTAAAAAGAATGGTTCAGGAGTGGGAATCTCCCTGATGTTCTCTGCAGTGAAGACTGATGCAAAGAATTCATTTAGCTTCTCTGCAATGGCTTTGTCTTCTTTGACTGCTCCTTTAGCACCTTGATCGTCCAGTGGCCCCACTGATTGTTTGGCAGACTTCCTGCTTCTGCTGTACTTAAAACAATTTTTACTGTTAGTTTTTGTGTCTTTTGCTAGTTGCTCTTCAAATTCATTTTTGGCCTGCTTAATTATACTTTTACACTTGACTTGATAGTTTTTCTTTCTGTTTTCTTCAGTAGGATTTAACTTCCAATTTTTAAAGGATGCTTTTGGCCCCTAACCGCCTATTTTTACTCAGCTTACAGCTCTTCCTGCTTCCCGTCCCCTGCTCTGACCCAAACCTCATTTGGAGTCATTCTCTGAAGGAGCTAGGGAATCAGTGCACCCATCCCTTCCTAACCTGAGGCTGCCCCAGTCCTTTCTCCTGCCTTGTCACTTTCTCACATGCTCTGTGTCCCAGATGGTTTTCCCGGGTGCTAGGAGCTGCAGCAGTTCCCTCAGAGGCGAAGAGACCCCTTTGTGCCCCCATAGCACAGTGATAGTGACATCCCTGATCAGACTCTAAACCTCCAAGTAAATGAGAGAGGCCCAAACTAGTGGATCCGATGGAAAGAATAGAGCCCTGCCAACAGAGCAAGCTTGTGGTATTAGAGCACAAATCCTCTTTGGAATCTTACAAAAGATCCCCTGGTACTGTGGTGCATTCGCTAATTCTCAGCTAATGACCTTCCCTAAGAAGCTTCAATTCCAGAGTCTAAATCACTGCAGTGGTGCAGTATGGCTGTTAAGCAGCTACCATGTTCCACCCAATAGTTGGCTGCATTACAGCAGTGGCTAAAGTGACTTGTTTATAGAGACAGTCTCAAGTGCTCTGGGTAGAGGTACAAGGGAGCCTAATTAAATATTATTGAGTTAATACACAAGATGTGTAGACTCTGCAGCAACTCCAGCTGGTAAAACCAGGACTGTCAATCATCATGCCTCCTGATGCCATGGTCTTTTGTCTCATGGTGCCATTTGGTTAGTGGGAGGCATTGGGTTTCTAGGCCCTTGTGAAAGGATGTATGATTCCTAGATTCCAAGGCCAGAAGGGAGCACTGTGATCTAGTCTGTCCTCCTGTAAAACACTGCCCAGAGAACTGCCCCGAAATAATCCCCAGAGCAGATCTTTTGAAGAACCGTCCAGTATCGACTTAAAAATGTTCAGTGATGGAGAATCCACCAGGATCCTTAGTAAATTGTTCCTATGGTTAAATGCCCTCACTGTTAAAAATTTAACCTTTATTTCCGGTCTGAATTTGTCTAGCTTCAACTTCAAGCTATTGGGTCATGTTAGACCTTTCACTGCTACACTGAAGAGTCCATGATCAAATTATTTGTCCACACGTAGGTAATTTACAGACTGTAATTGAGTCACCCATTAAGTGTATCTTTGTTAAGCAAATAGATTGAGCTCCTTGAGTCTGTCGCTATAAGGCAGGTTTTCTAATCCTTGTTGCGGCCCTTCCCTGACCCCTCTCCAATTTTTCAACATCCTTCTTGAATTGTGGAGATGGACCCAGGATTCCAACGGGGGTCACACCAGTGCTAAATACAGAGGTAAAATAACCTCTCTGGTGCTCCTCAGAATTCCCTTGTTTATGCACTGCAGGATGGCATTAACCCTTTTGGCCACAATTTTGCACTGGGTGATCATGTTTGGTTAATTATCCACCTTGACCCCCAAATCTTTTCAGAGTCACTGTTTCCTAGGATAGAGCCCCCTGTTGTGTAAGTATGGCCTGCATTTTTTGTTGTTGTTGTTCCTAGATGTATACATTGAGACACATTAAAACACACAGTGCTTGCTTGAGCCCAGTTTACCAAACGATCCAGATCACTCTGTTCTAATGACCTCTCCTCTTCGTTATTTGCCATTCCCCATTTTTTTTGTGTCCTCTGCAAACTTTGTCAGTGATGATTTTGTTTTCTTCCAGGTCACTAATAAAAATGTTAAACAATATAGGGGCAAGAACTGATCCCTGTGCGACAAACTAGGAACGCACCTGTTCGATGATGATTCCCCATTTACGCTTACTTTTTGAGACCTATCAATTAGCCAGCTTTTAGTCCATTTAAAGTGTGCCATATTAATTTTGTAATTCTAGTTTTTAAATCAAAATGACATGCGGTACCAAGTCAAATACCTTAGACATCTCAGTATATTATGTCAACACTATTACCTTTATCGACCAACTTGTAATCTCATTTAAAAAACAAATCAAGATAGTTTGACAGGATCTATTTTCCATAAACCCATGTTGATTGGTATTAATTATATTGTCCTCCTTTAATTCTTTATTAAGCAAATCCCATATCAACTGCTTCATTATCATGCCTGTGATTGATGTCCGACTGACGGGCATATAACTACCCATGTCACCCTTTACCCAGTCTTCTGAAATTTTCCCAGTCTTCTAAGACCAATTGAAAATCAACATTAACAGTTCAGCGAGCTTCTCAATAGCTCTATTAAAACTCTTGGTTGCAAGTTATCTGGACCTGCTGATATTAAAATGTCCGACTTTAGTAGCTGCTGTTTTAACATTCCCCTGAGATACTAGTGCAGTGGAAAGAGTGTTAACCTAGGATATTAATACATCATTATTTTTTCCACAAATACAGAACATAAATATTTGTTCTCTTCTGCCTTTTCTGTTTTACTATTGATAAAAAGAAAGGGAGTACTTGTGGCACCTTAGAGACTAACCAATTTATTAAGCTCACGAAAACTTAGGCTCAAATAAATTGGTTAGTCTCTAAGGTGCCACAAGTACTCCTTTTCTTTTTGTGAATACAGACTAACACAGCCGTTACTCTGAAACCTTTACTATTGATGATTCTCTCATTTCCATCTAGTAATAGACCAGTATTGTTAGCATTATTTTTGTTCCTAATATACTAAAAAAACTTCCTTCTTATTGTCCTTATCTCTGCTGGCAATAGAATCTCCTTGACTCTTTGCTTCCATTTTCAATTTTCTACAGTTCCTAACTTCTGACTTATATTCCCTTTCTTTTCTCCTTTCTTCCATTTGTTACATTATTTCTTTATTTTTTATAGCTGTCTTCACTTCCCCACTAAACCAGGTCATTTTGTAACCAATACAATCTTCTTCCTCAGTTGTGGCTTTATGGCCATCGCGTAATGTTCTTAAACCCAGTCTTCCTCTCAGCTGATGTGGCTCATAATTGTTTTCAGCTTTGGGAAACTGGCCCTTCTAAAGCACCGAGTATTTATATCACTGGTCTGGATTTCATTCTGTTTGTATTTTATAAATGTGATCAAATCATGAGCCCTTGTACATAAGTCACCATTAATGTGCTTGTCCTTGTGCGTGAGACTAACTACAAAGGGAAGACCCTGTGGCCTGATGGGAGCCAGGGTTCCTGGTTCTGTTCCCTGCTCTGCTGCTGACTCGCTCTGTGACCCTGGAGATGTCTCTGTGCTTCAGTCTCAATTGACTTGTCTTACGGGGTTCTGGGCAGCTTTGCTGAATACAAAGGGCTGTGCGCGCCCCTGTGCTGAACGGCAGTACAGCAGAGAAAGTGCTGCTGTTCACGCTCTCTTGTCCGAGTACATCTTGCCCTCCTGGAAGCTGCGGGGAGAAAACTGCCCGAGGACCCGCCATCTGTGCTGTGAGCCAACCAGCCTGTCTCTTGCTTGTAGAGGATCAAGGAAGGGAGCGTCATAGATCGGATCCAGGTCATCAATGTGGGCGACATGATCGAGTCCATCAACGGGCAGAGCCTCATCGGCTGCCGGCACTACGAGGTTGCCAAGATGCTCAAGGACCTGCCCAAAGGCCGCACCTTCACGCTGAAGCTTACAGAGCCCCGGAAGGCATTCGGTGAGTGAGCCCCACAGACTGCGCTGGGCAGATGAGGCGGGGTGGCCACTGGCAGGCTCAGGACAGTTGGAGCATGAGGCCTGTAACAAGTTGGTTCCACCCGACATGTGTAAAATGAACACGGTAGGTCTCAGTCCAGGTCCTAGTAGGGCAGGTGTCCCTGGCTCATGGCTAAGTAACTGGCTCCCCTTGTTGGCAGCCAAAGCAGAAAGGACCAAGCACGCCACAGAGAATGAGCTCCCCCATCTCTCCAGACGGGCTCGTTCCTGTGCGGGGGGGGGGGGGGGGGCTGGCAGCAGTATGTTTGCCATTGACCCTGCTGAGACCTTCAGCCTCCAAGGCAATTAGTCCAGCACAGAACGCACTGGGCTTTGTTTTGCACGTTCTGTCCTTCCTCCTTCAGTGAGGAGTCGCATTGGGTGCTTATCTGGGAGCACCTTTCATCATAGCCCAAAGGCCCAAGCCCTGCTGGCTGTTGTGGGCACTAAGGGCCATTACCTTCTGTCCTACTCGGCCATTAAATGGGAGATGGGGAGGGGCGTTGCGTCAGGGTTTTCCAATCTTTGGGTTGCCGGAATGTTTCAGAGGGCCGCACGGTGGCTCTGGTCCCATGGCTCTGGCTGGGCTTGCCTCCCTCGAGCTGCTGTTGCTGCTGCAAGGTGAGTGCAAGGTGGGCTCTGCAACCTCCTTCAGGGCCACCCCAGCCAATGTGCTGGGTCACAACAGGCCCATCTACGTTTACAAATGGGTCCTGAGCCAAAAAAGGGTGAGACCTGCTGCTTGAGGTTTGAGTGACGTGTCCTGTGGCGTGGTGGCCAGCAGGTGGCATTGTAACCTCACTGCAGCTCCTAGCCATATGGCCTGTGCACAGGGTTGGTTGAGAGGTGGGTCAGTTCTGTTGCTTAATTTCAGGGTAGGGCTTCACCAGCCACGTTACTGCAGGGAACCCTTCCTCGTATTGCAAGAGGGAAAAGGAGGCTTCTGCCATGCAAGGCAGATGGGATCTGGAGATTCCTGTAGCTACTGAGCCTGCACGTGGGCCTTCAGGCAGCCAGCCTGTAAAGCTGACCCCTTTCTGCTTGGACTTGGGGGTAGGTGGCCCTGCCAGGGTATCTGTGAATGACCCTCTGTGTACTCAGTGATGAGAGGAGGCTGCTCACAGGACAAGTGGGAGGGGCTGACTCTGCCTTGCAGATCTGCACCCTCTTTCTCTTCACTCCCTCCGCACTCCCCCCCCTCCATCTCTATGGTGGCCTGAGGAAAGGAGTCTGTACTCACTGTCCTAAATTTCACTAAGCAGACAGGCCTGTTTCAATCCCAGCAGCTGGCAAGGTGAAGGCTCTCTCCCTACTTATCCCTCAAAGGACAGGGCTTTGAGTGAAGCCTGGGGGAAAGCTAGGTCCCCAGGATGGTGCTGAAGGCCAAGGGGAGACAACTTGATTCCGGGCTGGACTGTTCCAGCCCCTGTGTGTGTTATCCAGTGCTGGCCTTGTCAGTAGCTCCCAAACGTACCCCAGGGACGGGGATTCCAGCCCTTTCAGCTCTGTTCCGGGCAGACTCCCTCTGATCACAGTGCGACCTCACCCTCTGTCTGTGCCGCCTTCTCCGAGAGTCCTTGAATCCGGATTCCTCGGCTGTTGGTAGCACCTTCAGACAGAGGCTCTCCAGGTGCTCTTCAAATGCTGCACAAAGCCCCGGGCTGGGTCATTGTTGCTACCCTCACGTTGCCCCAGATCACACCGAGGCAGTGTGGAAGTAGAACCCAGGAGTCCTGGTTTGCCAACCTTAACCACTAGGCAGCGCTCCCTCCCTGAGCAAGGGATAGAACCGAGGAGTCCTAGCTCCCAGTCACATCACTTTCCCTGCTGCTGGTGTCTCAGTTCATTCATCCACGAGGTCAGCCTGCCACTACGAATTCCTTCCTCCTTGAGTGACTCACTCTGATCTGGGAAGGAAGATCATTTTCCACTTTATTTCCTCCTTGGCTTATACTTCTCAGCCCACACACACGTCCCTGGTTTCTGGAATCTGGCAACTTTCTTCTCCCCTCCTTCCACCGGGTACCAGCTGCATCTGTTCATCTCTGGCACTTCGGGAGCCCTCACGCCAGCATCCGTGCCCCTGCTCATTCCCTGCAGTTCCTTCCATGCTAATTAGTGACAGCTCCGTGGCACCGGCTGTGCGCGCGAACGTTAGGCTCCTCTGCTCGGCTGTGCTGGAGAGAGACCAGGTGCCGATGCTCGCTGGCTATGCTTTGGCGAAGCAAATGTGAGAAAGCTAAGCTCGGTCCTGCCAGCCCTGTGCTCTGCTGCCTGGATCCACAACTCACTGGCAGTTCAATCCAGCCTCATCACCTGCCCTGCCTTCCAGTGTGCACGGGACCCTCTGGACAAGGCATGAGGGAAGAAAAGCTCCATGCTGTTCTCTCAGAATGCCGGCAGCTAGAGCGCGGGGAGAGCGCCGTTAGCTGCCAAGAGTAGACTGGCTTTTCACCTCTGGAGCTGCCAGAGGGAGACATAACTTGGGAGGGCCAGGGCAGATCTGATAGCATCCAGCAGAGGGCAGCAGTGGGTGCACCCCAACATGGGTGTTACAACCTGTTTGCAGGTCATGCTTGATTCTAGGAGAGGGCGGGGATGTTCTGCGTTCCATCAGCCTGGCCTGAGGGACCGTGCGGCGTCTGTTACAGGTCTTTCTCCCGGAGGTGGCCTCCTGGGTGCACCCTTCTACCCCTGCTGTATCCCCCTTACTGCTCTTGGCAGCTCTTTTCTGCTGCAGGGCCCTGGCCCAGCTCGCGGGCTCTTGCCGAGGACCCAGATCACCAGCTCCTTGCACAAACGCACAAGCAGCCTCTTGTCCTCTGATCGAAGCAGGGAGGTGGGAAACTGGTTCATCCTATGCTGGCCCTGTTCAGTTCCCACCTCCTGTTGAAACCCACTGGAGAGGCATCCGTCCGCTGGGCTCTGTGCCAGCCCTGGATCACAGGACTGGAGGGAACGCTGTGAGAGCTGCTGATAGGGAAAGTGCTGGCCTCTGGGGAAGAGCTCTAGGCCAGCTCACTTCATTTGTTCCCCTCTATGGGCAACCTGGAGCAGCCTCTTCTTTTAACCTCTCTCGCTGGCTATTTCTAGCTCGCCGGACTAAGTGGCTGTTATCCCCCATTGAGAGTGCTCAGGACCTTCCCCGTGATCTGGGCAGGGGCCAGCCCCCTGCCCCGGCTGGGGAGATGCTGATCACAGAATTCTCTCAATGCTCTTGAGTAAGACTAACGTACAGGCAGCATGGTTGTGCCCACACCCCTCCATCCTCTTTGCAGCACCTCCTACCTTCTCCCTGCACATATCCCTGCCGCTACCCTCAGCGCCCCCCCCCCCCCCACACACACACACACCCTGCTTCTCCAGCCCTGGGCTTCCCCCCACATACAGCCTTGCAGGTCCCCCTCAGCCCCCACCCACAGACCCCCTGCTTCTCCAGCCCTGCAGGTGCCCCTCAGCCCTGGGCTCCCCCCACACACAGCCCTGCTGGTGCACCTCAACATCCTCACACAGAGCTCTGCCAGTACCCCTTGACCCAGCCCCCCTGCTTCTCCAGCCCTGGCCCCCTCCCCCCGCAGCTCTCCAATGCCCTTGCTATTCCAGTCTTGCACTTATTAGACTATGTTGGTCATGTGACCTTCTGCGGCTCCTCTGGTCTCCACGCTTTGCCAGCGCCGGAGTCTTGGCGCAGACATGCCCTGCTCTCCCCTCCCATGCAGGCCCTGTGCCCTGTCCTGCCCGCTGCTGTGCTGTGGCATGACTGGAAAGGCTGTTCTTTCTCTTGGCTGTGAGCTCTAGGGCAGAGGCCAGAACCCCAGCCTCCCCATGTGAGGCAAACTACTCCTCCCTGTCTGAAAGGAGCCAAGCTTTCCTGGAAAGGCAGGGGAGTGTCTCTGCATTCCCAGTTTAACACAGCCACCCCCTCCCAGCTTTGGGGGAAGTGGGGGGATGACAGGAAGCCTCAAATACCAGTGCCAGGAACACCTGGAGCTCCATCCCCACTACGAGCCAAGCCCATGTTCCCGTTAGCAGAGGCAGAACAGCTGGGCTCCTGTGCTGGGGCCAGGCTGGTCTTGCTCAGTGCTGTTCCCTGCCCTGTGAGGGCTCTAGCAGGGGGGCTGAGGCAGGCTGACCTGGGGGCCAGTGACCCCTCTTCCCATGGCTTCTGGATCAGTGGTTCTCTCTGTATGTTGGGGGGGGAATAGGTGCAGGGGTGAAAGTGGGCCAGTACGGTGTACCGGTAAGAAGTGGCCGCCGGTACCAGCCCATATGCAGCCCATGTTAAAGCGCTCAATAGATGGAGCGTGGGGTATGAACAGCGCCCGCCTATGATAGCCCCAAAAGGGAAAAATCCTCCCTGTCTTTTGGCCCAGAACAATCTCAAACCAAGATCTATTGACACAGTGCAGCCAAGAGGATCTGAGCACCATCATTGCCAGGAGGTGTTGGAGATGGATTGGGCATGTGCTTTGGACAGAAACTGATTCCATCACCAGAGTAGCAATAAGATGGACACCTGAAGGCAAGCGAAAAGGAGGCCGCCCGAAAACAACCTGGCGAAGAGCTGCGGAAGCCGAGCTGAAAAACCTGGGGCAGAGCTGGGGAACCACTGAAAGACTTGCCAGAAGCAGGCAGGAGTGGAGGAGCTTGGTCACTGCCATACACGCCCGAGGCAGAATAGGAACGTGGTGGTGATGATGATGATGGCCCCTCCCTGTCACCCTGTCCTCCGGGTGCACGGTAGCCAGGCGTCCCAGGGGTCTTAATGGCATTCAGCATCCACCCAGCAGAACAGGGGCTGCTCAGTGCCCGGGGCTGCAGGGACAGTGGCTGTGTGGGCATCCAAGGGCTTATGCCGGCTCTGGGCCAATCGCTTTTTACATCATCTCTGGCCCTAGTGTAGATGGGGGCCGGAGGTCTCTTGGTTTGTGATCTCCTAGGAGTCTGCCTGCACGGCCCACACTGGGCCGGGGCACAGAGCAGCCTGCGCGGCAGTGTCTGGCGCCGTCCTTTCCCCACTGGTGGTGGGTTGGCTCTCAGGGCTTTGGCCTGGCGTCTGTTTATGAGGCACACACGCGGCAGGGTGGGGTGCCGGCCCGGCACGCCATCCTCTGATTGCGGCTCCAGCCCGGACACGTTGATGTGGCTGGAGGATATTTGAGTCTGAGTCCAGGGCCTTTCCCTCTCCCGTAGCCCATGCTGTGCTAACCACGCTGGGAGTGGGCGGGGTGTCATGGCTCCTCCAGCCCAGCCGCTGCCAGGCTGTGGTGGCCGCTGCTGCTCCAAGGAGTTCTCCGTGGAACGTGGGAAGGGAAGCAGCGTTTTCCATAAGAGACAGACGCTCGTGTGTGCTTGGAGGGGCAGGGAGCAGCTGCTAGGGCCAGCGCCAGAGAGCCGGGGAACAGGTGCACGAGGACTGTAAATAACCAAGCAGTGCATGCCCCCATGAAACTCCTGTACCCCAATGCACCAGGCAGAGCAGTTCTAGCTGCCTTACAAACAGTCGGGGGAACCCGTACCCTCTCGTGTCCCTGGTGCTAAGGAATCCACGCCCCATGCTGCAGGGCCACGGGATCCGCTCTTGGAGGCAGAGTCCTAGGAGGAGTTGCATATGGCCTCCAGGCTGTACCTCGCCTTCCTGAGAGACTTGTGACCCTTGGACACATCCACAGTGTCTGCTTCCCTCCTCTCAAAAATCACCCCAAAACCCCAAAGGGGGTTCTAGCTCTCATGTGACCCAGGCAGTGACTGCTGGCTGACTCTGCTGACAGCCTGAGACTATGGCTAACCGGGTGCAGGCGAGTGCTCACTCCTCAGTCCAGTCTCCCGGTGGTGTCGTCTGCAACTGCCATTCTCTCTCAGCGCCAACTTTCTGTGGTGGAGGCAGGGTGGGAATTGGGAGCTGGGGCAGGGGGAAGAAGAGGGAGAGAAGCCGAGAGCGGAGGATGGGGACAGGAGAGAAGCACAGGGCAGAGAGCAGTGGCCTAAAGAGCGGAGCATTTATTGCCATGTTCGGTGAGAAAGCACTGAATATACAATCCCCAACAGTGCAGTTGCCACAGAGGCCAGACCATCCCCGTCTCTCCCAGAGGGAAATCTGTAGATCAAGGGAAGAAGTGACTTCAAAATGAACGCCCTGGGCCAGAACTGAACGTGGCATTCTGTCTTCCACACCGAATGAGCGATACATCAGCCCCTAGAGCAGGGGTGCATCTGCCTCAGTTTGCTCCCCTCGCTTGGCATGGGAGGGTGAATAACCAGCTCCCCCGCCCCCCCCCACCCCTTGCGTCCTGGCAGCATGGCACCCACAGAGTCATCTGGGCTCCAATCTGCTGCAGAAATTTTTTTTTTTAAACGGGGCATGGCGGAGGGGCAAACCAAAGTCTCTTGCGGGGGGTTTCTTCACAGCCACAGCTGTCGAGCCTACCCGATAGCAAGGACATCTGCCGGAGTCTGCAGGCAGCCTGACGCGGGAGCTCGTTCGTCGCAGACGTTTATCGAGGACGCTAACAGTTACCAGTCTCGCTGCTGCTCGCTTTGGCGGACTCATCGGGCTGTCCTCCTCCCGGGCCGTGGGCCACAGCAGCAGAGAACTGGGTAGCGGGAGCTAGCCTTTGCTGAGGTTTGGACTGAGGAGTTCAGGCCTTCCCCTGCTCCACATTTAATGTCCTCTCTGCCCCTGCGCAAAGGGCGTGGGGAGGTGGAAAAGTGGCAAAGCACCAGTTGCCTCCAAAAGCTTTGCCCGGGCAGGTCACGAGGAGCGTGAGGGCAGCATGACATAGAATTTAATGCAGAAATAAATAGGGGCTCCTACAGCAGTGTGTACAGCCTGCTGTATTGGGCTGGGGCAGTGAGGTGGGGGGAGCCATGTTGCTGCACGTGTCCCCATCTTCCTTTTCCCCAAGCTGCCATCCCTCGCCCTCTGGCTCAGCACATCCAGGGCCTCTCATCCCATTTGTGAAGGACAAACTGCAAGTGAAGCAGCCTCTGAAGAGCCTAGGACTAGAAGGGACCTCCTGCACCGTGCGAGTGGAGCCCCTCTTGGATAATTCTTGTCCCGCGCCTGCCCCAGCATCCATGCTCCACACACAGGATCTCTGCTCCCATGGCCGGCACCCCGGCTGCATGGCGTTTGCCCTCCGCCTCCAGACAATTCTAACAAGCAAGAAAGCGGGGGCCCTCAGACCCCCCCCGCACTTGGGGGCACCTCTTTGGCACAGCAGCTGGGCTTTGGGAATGTCATTGAGGGGCAGAGAGGAGACCATGGCTAGCAGGAAGCAATGGATCCAGGGGGCTGGTAGGAAAAGGAGCACAGCAGACTACTCTCCCGTGCCCCTTCTGGCAGGGACTGAGCAACACACAGCCCGGTGCCTAGGCATTTATACCATATTCCTGCTGCCATCTGTGTCCAGCGTGGGCGTTTTAGGGAATGGGCTCAGGGGACCCTTCCCCTGTATGTCAGAAGCAGGAAAGTGGTTGATCTGATGACATCTTCCCAGATTATTTTTACTTCGTGGGACTGTGGGAAACATCAGTGGGGCTGGATCTCCCCAGCACGCAGTAAAGACTGGCTGGAGAGGCGCATCACAGGCTGTTAACCCTTTGGCAGCCTGCAGGTCCCCTCGGCCCTGGCAGCTGCTGTTCTAACTGGCCTGAATAGAGAGTCTCTTTTAGAAACACAACAGCTGGGTTGGTTGCCCCATGAGGGTTTTAATAGGATGATGCTGAAGCAGCTCGGTCCCCTGTGGGGAGAGGAAACGGAGTGACCAGTGCCGTGTATCAGCTCAAGGGGACAGGGCTGTCCGGGGGCAATGTTGGCTGCTCCGGAAGTGCATTGGAACAGAGGTCCCTGCAGGCGTGGGAGCTGCTGCAGGATGCACCACAGCTTCCCTGGGGATTCCAGGCTGCCCAAGGGCAGGAAGAAACCGATCACATACTGGAGGAAAGAGGAGCTTGTGGGATCCCACACTGCTGCTGGCAAGAACTAGACCCACCCAGGAGACAGACAGGCCTGGAGTGGAAGGCCTGGGGGTTCCATGAGGCTTGCACTGTGGCTTCTTGTCCCCATGCCTCGGTTTCCTATCTGTGAAGCAGGGATCCCAGCCCCCTGCGAAGCAAGAGCACATCCCTCTGCTGTGGAGTATGGAGACCTGACCCTCCAAGGGCTGCGCTGCCTTGTCGAACGGAGGTTCTCGCACTGCGCCCATTGCCTTGCCCTGACTGCCAGGGGTCCCTTCTCTCCCCCACCCCCGCGCATCCCTGGTCCCACAGGCTGATCTCAATGTGCCCCTGCCATCCCGTGTTGTCAAACTGACGCAGTTGAGTCTTGTGGGTCTGAGCCCTGCTCTGTGGGACCCAGCAGGGCAGATGGGGGGAGGGGAAGGCAGTTCTGCAGCTTCCTGGGGTGGATGTTACTGCAAACAGCCTGAATCCCAACCTGCAGCATCTTCTCCCAGCCCCTAGCCATCCCGGCCCTGGGCTCCCCTCCACCAGCTCCACTTGTGCCCCTCAATCCCAGTCCCCAGCTGTCCCGGCCCTGGGCTCCCCACACTCTGAGTTGGGACTGAGGCATCAGCCCAACGCACACTACCCCAACCCTGGCTGCCTCCCAAGCACACCCTGCCTGTTGTGCCCAGGTGGTGGTGTCTGATACCTGGCCCCACTTCCTGCTGGAGGGTGGCTGCCCATTTGGCTGCACCGGTGCCTCGGGCTGGGCTAGGATTCTGGGCTGCGAGGCCAGCGGGCTGACTGCCCCCCCCCACCTCCGGCGTGGTCTCATGGGGTCGTCTCCTTGCTGTGTTTCAGATATGATCAGCCAGCGGGCTGCAGGAGGCAAGCACAACAGTAGCTCCCAGCTGGGCACTGGCAGAGGGACCCTACGGCTGCGGGCCAAGGGGCCTGCCACCGTGGAGGAGCAGGTAGGTATCAGCCCCTGGGAGCTTCCCCTGACAGCCCTTCGGAGCCTTTCAGTGTTCGCTTGGGCCCTGCCCTCTGCCCAGAGGGAACTGCGGGCGGGGAGCCAGAGCAGAATGAGAGGGGAGCTGAGGTCCCAGCTGTCCCAAGAGCGGGGAGGGTCAGGTCCTCCATGTGGGGCTGCTCCCCCCACTACAATCCTTGCACTGCACCTGCTTCCCAGTCTTCTCCCACAGCCCTGTCGATGCCCCTCAATCCTGACCTGCAGCCCCCTGCTGTCCCAACCCTGGGCTCCCCCACAGCCCTGCCGATGCCCCTCAATCCCGACACGTAGCCCACTGCTATCCCAGCCCTGGCCCCCAACACCCACACCCCTCTGCCCAAGAATGGGCGGGGTTGGAAGAGGCTTTAGAGGGCCCCTCTTTTCCCATGGGTTCTGGGTTGCGGGGGGGAGCTATATTTTTGCCTCGGTCTCCTGCTCAGCAGCTCTCCTGCCCCCCCAGCTGTCTGCGTTTGAGGAGAGGGCTATTGAGAAGGTGGACGACCTGCTGGAGAGCTACATGGGCATCCGCGACACAGAGCTGGGTGAGTCTCCTGCCAAGCAGCCCCCAAGTCACCCTGGGGCTGAGTGCCCAAAGCATCGGGGTGTTGGGGAAAGGGCTGCGTCACGGTCCGCCGGTATGGGAACCCTTCCTGGGCAGCTTGGGAGCGCCCTGCTGGGAGAGGCCCAGGCTGGAGTAGCTAGTAGCACCCCCCACAGCCAGTGCTCCTCCCCTGCTCCCTCCAGCGCCCCTGCCTGGAGGGGCTGGGACTGGAGGAGCTGGACACTCCCCAGCAGTTAAGAGCCAGCTCTGCTGTTAGTGGCCCAGAGGCCTGCATCCCTCCTGTGCAGCATTGAGCGTGAGGAGAGACGTCTCCCCTCTCTGAGTGGTGAGCAGGGCTCTCCCGGGGGCACAGAGCAGCATTTCGGGGGTTACTGTGGAAGTGGCAGTGACAGCAGGCTTGTCAGTGTGTTCTGGGAAGCTGGGCTGGGCACAGGGAGAGCTAATCAACCCTTCAGGCTCTGCAGGCTGGTGGCTCGCAGGGCTCCCAGCTGCCGTGCCTCCTCGGCCGCTCCTGTCAGTCAGGGCTGCGGGCAAGAGCAGCGCGTTGGCGCAGGGGGTCTAGCGCTCCTGGCAAGGGCGTGGCAGTGCTCTCGGGATACACGCAGCATTGGCACTGTTGGTGTCAGCGGTGGGATAGCACTAGGGCTGGCATGTCCTGCCACAGGTAACGTTGTGGCAGTGACTGCTCCTCGTTACCCTCCCTCCCCTGTCTCTGCTCTCTGTAGCTGCCACCATGGTAGAGCTGGGGAAGGACAAGCAGAACCCTGACGAGTTCGCTGAGGCGCTGGATGAGCGGCTGGGTGACTTTGCCTTCCCCGACGAGTTCGTCTTTGACGTGTGGGGTGCCATCGGGGATGCCAAGGTTGGGCGCTACTAGGACTCTGCTGTGCCCACGCTGGATCTGCTGTGCCCTTGGGCTGGGCGAGGGAGGGCTGGGCCGCTGCCCTCGTGTGGACCAGGGGGTAGGGGATACACCACGGGCCCGGCTCCAGCACCGCTCTGGCAAACACTCCAGCTCCGGCTCCTCGCCCCTCCCCTCCACCCAGGGCCGTGTGTGCACCTCACTGTAGGCAGCCCTTCCTGGTGCCCCGCGGGAGTCGGGCTCAAAGCCTCACTCTTCTCCTCTCCTTCCCCCCCCCCCCCCCCAGTACTAGTGTCGGCGGAGGGGACAGCTGCTGGGCGTTAGGGAGCAAGAAGCTGAGCCATTGTGTGCCCCTGGGGAAGGCTGCAGGGATGGGCAGGCCCTTGGGGGTGCTCCCTCCCTGGTCCTGGGGGGCAGCAAGGGGAGTGAGGGGGCCCCTTTTTGGGCCCCTTTTCTCTTCTGGGTGCTGGTCAGGAGATGGACAGGATTCCCAGCTCCTGCACTGCTCCCTGGGGTGGAGCAGGGTGTGTGTCCGGGCAGGTGCAGGGCCTGGCACCCCTATCCCCTCTTCAGTCAGCAGGGTAACCCGGCCACTGCCGGGGAGTCCCTTGGCGCAGCCTCCCGCCGGGCAATAACCCCGGTGCCTGTGTTCCATGCGTGGGTGTTTGCGAGCAGAGTGCCCCCCCCATATGGTACACCCACCCCGCTGCCTGTCAGCACTGATCTAACCACTAACGGGAGCGAGGCTGCTCCGGGTGGGCTGCGGATGGCAGAGGGCCCGCACCAGCCTGCCCACTCCTCCCCAAGGGCATTCTCAGCTCACTCCAGCTCCCTGCCATGCTGCTCTGTTGGTACTGTGCTGCCCTGTCCCTTCACGTGCTTTAATCCTTCCTTCTCCCGAGGCTGGTGGGGGCAGGCAGCGTGGGGGGCTGCGGACCGGCTCCTCGGGTGGTTCTGCAGCCCCGAGCAAGGTTGAGATCCCTAGTTCCCCTCAAAGGCAGTGTGAGACTGGGAGTTGCTGTCAACTTGAGGGGGGGTGGCTAGCTCCCCTCCCCTCCTCCTGCTCCCCTGTTACCCTCCCTGCCCCACCCAGGGGAAAGGAATCAACAGCCTGCAGTGCCCCCTGCTGGCAGAGACCTGGCTGGGGTAGCTGGAAGCTCCCGCCCCCTTCTGGCAGAAGCTGTCTGGTGTGTTCACGCTCTGTCCCAGCTGAGCCCCATCACCCTGAGACCCCTCCTCCGTTTACCTGCTGCCAGAAAGGTTTCTTTGTGGGGCAGTGGGGCCATGCCCCACCTCCCACAGTGGAATAGCCCCAGGATCGGTCCTGCTTCTTGGGACTGCTCCCCACCCCCTTCAGGGAGGGTGGGCCGGGGGGAAGGTCCCCGCTCCACCTCCAGCCCCACCTGGTGCAGCAGCATTCTTCAGGAGCCGCTCAGGAATGACTGAGCGTCTCTTGTCATGCATCTGTTCCTGAGGCTGGAGCCCTGCTCTCCCCTAGCTGTGCGGTTCACACCCCACATTCAAAGCAGCTGGTCTCTGCTGGCTTGCGGGCAGAGGGTGAGTGTGATGGGGCGTGTCCCTTAGCTCTCAGACAGCCAGGCAGCGCCCACCCCCTACTGCTGCCCCTGGAGCATCGCAGCCGTGGGGGGTGGTCAGAGGGTTAAATCCACCTGCCTCCTGCTAAAAACCACACTGACCAATCAGGCCAGGCAACAGCCCTGTGCCAGTCAGGGGCCTGTTCTGTTCACAGCTCCCCAGCCCACCTTTCCTTCCCACCCATCTACCCTCCTCTCCATTCTCAGGGGCGGGGGGAGAAGAGTTTGAATTGTCTCCCCACCGGAGCAGGTGCACCAGACCCTTCAGGTTGTATACGTCACTGGGTCTTGTGGTGGGTTTCCCAGCTGATCTAGGCTCCCCCCCTCTGGCTCAGTCGAGGTCCCTTGCCTGCTTCATGCTGCTCTGACTTCCTGTGTAAAGAGATTATCCCTGCCCCCCTATTCAGGGGTGGGGGGGTGCCCTCCTCCCGCTTTCCCTCCATGGCTCCAGCACTGGCCCTAATGTCCCATCCGTAACCCAGGCAGGTGGGTTAATGATCTCTCCTAGCGTTTACGCTCTGTGATGATTAATTGCCCCTGGAGCCCGTTGTGGGGTTTCGCTCACCACTCTGAGCCTGTCATAACACTGTCCCTTCCAACCCCCTCCGCAGTGCCCCATGTGTGGATGCGCCTAACACCTCCCTCTCACACCTTACTCTGAGTGAATCCCCCACTGCACCCATGGGGGGTGAGCTGACACACACAATGCTGAATGGCTGGGGTCCCCTTGGGCTGGCTTGGAGTTTTTCAAGATCCTTCTCTAAAAGAAGGCCCACGGTTGAGTGGCTGGATCAGGACTCCTGGAATCTGTCTCTGTCTCTGGAAGTTGGGGGGGCCCCTACGGATTAGACCAGGGCATTTGAGCCCAGGACTCCTGGCTCTGTTCTCAGACCTGCCTCCACCTCTCACCCTTGGGCATGTCCCTCCTCTCTCTGTCTTGTCTTATCTGTTCACTCTGGATCGGACTGACCTACCTCGCAGGGCGGGTGTGAGGACACGCAATGTTTGTAAAACTCTACGTGCTGCAATATTTATATCCCATCCCGCCCCTGTTCCCGGGCTGCAGGCTGGGAGCCCCAGGATTGCTCCCTGCCCCCCAGCTTCTTCAGTCACTCTCCAGCCCTCAGGCACCTCCCGTATCCACGACACTAAGCCCAGCACTGGTGCTTGGGCCTGGGCCCCGGCTCAGAGGGGAGTGTGCAAAGCACGGGACTTGGAGGGGATGGTTCCATTGCAAGGGGCTCCAGGCCCCCAGGGTGGGGAGTGACCCCCTGCTGAGCAGGACGTGGTCAGGGTCTGGAGTCCCAGAGAGCAAGGCCCCTGCGCCCCCCCCTCATGCTGTGATGGAAGTGAGCTGTGACCCCTCTGCTGAACCCCAGTCCCTTGGGAGCTGCTGCAGACCCCCCCCTCCTCCCAGGGCCTATTTTTGTATTTTACCTGTAAAGCATCTTTAACATAAAAATATATCGACTCTAGCCAACCAGCTGCATGTCTGCGGGGGCAGGGAGTGCGTCAGGCATGGGCCGTGCCTGGGGCAGTCGGGAACTTGCCTACAGCTGCAGGGCAGGGGTGGGTGCTGGGGAGCCTGGTCGTGCTGTGGGGCTGGGCAGTGGGTATAACAGGAGGCAGTACCAAAGCCCAGGCCCCCCCGCCCCACTAGCAGCTCCCTCTGCAAGGGTCCGATCAGAGCATCCTTCCCAGGGGGCAGCACTGGAGGAAAGAACAGGCAGGCCTAGCTCAGCCATCACACACCCCCCTGCCTGAGGCTCCAAGGCGAGGCCCCGCTGGCGGTTCCTGCCCCCTCAGTGCCTGTCTCCCCACCCTGCCCCGATGCTGGGTCCTGCTCAGTGCAATAGAGCAGACCCCGAGCTGCCTCGCCCCGGAGCCTGCACTCAGTGCCAGTTGTATGGCTGTCCTGGGCCTGGCTTTCTGGGGTTGGGGGTGGACATGTATCCCTTCAGCGGCTGCCCTGCTGCCCTCTGCGACTTCCGCCTTCCCTGGAGTCAGAGGGCAGGCTAACAGGGAGACCAAGGGGATGGGAGACACCGGGGCGATGCTTCAGCAGGGGGCATTCTCCCCACAGCGTGCTGACCCCAGGGCGGCGCTAGGGGACGCAGTGCTGCAGGGAGGGTGGGGCTCAGCAGGGGGCGCTCTGCCCTGGCAGTCGGTGCTGACCCCAGCATGGTGCTAGGGGGCGCTGTGCTGCAGGGACGGGGGGGGCTCAGCAAGGGGGGCTCTCCCCTGACAGTCAGTGCTGACCCCACGGCGGTGCTTTAGTTCTGGCTTTAAGATGAGGGGTAGAGCCAGAGCCGTGCCCACTGGTGGTAAAATGATCCCCCAGGGTGTTCCCACCAAGCCGGAGGGCGAGTCCTGCTGCCCTGGCTCAGCTCCGTCTGGGCTAATTCTCTTTTAACCCCCGTCCCACAGCTTCAGCTGGAGTCGCAAGGCTCTGGCCCTGCTGTCAAAGACCTCTGTGGGCCCCTTTGCCCTGCCTGGCGTGGGGCTGCTGACCATATAAACACCTAAACCTCAGCCAGGATCAGGGGCACGAGGCCAGCTGCAGCCTGTCCTGGGGTTCCTGCCCCAGACACAGAGCTGGGCTGCAGCCCCCTCGCCAAGGAGATGGGCAAGCACGGGAAGGGAGCCCTGGCTCTGGGGCTTGGAGCTGCCAGCATTTCGCTGCCACCGGCTGCCCCTTCCCCAGCTCCAGTGCCCCTTCCTTTGCCTGCCTCAGCCCCTTGGGTGCCTGGTGTCGACCTGGCAAGACCCCACCCACATGAGTTTCACTCTTCCCAGAAGGTGACCCCAGGACTTGGGACACGGACTTCATGTCCCAGGCCAGAATGCGTCACTGGTTCCAGTCCAGCCGGGATGGCCTGGGCTCGACACTGCTGAGGGTGGACATGGGGCTCAACCAGGTTCCTCCTGGACAGGCGTCTGCACCGGTGGCTGCCCCCACTCTGGGCTCAACAGGGGGTGCTCCCCTCATTAGGCTGGGATCGTGGGTGCTGGAACTCTGGCTTTAAGTGGTTTCCATTACATGCAGGATTTACAGTTTGGTTAAAATGCTCTCAGCACCCCCACTATAAAACCTGTGGGGATAGCTGGGGGCTGCGGGTTGGGATTGAGGGGCACCAGCGGGGCTGGGAGGAAGGGCAGCCCAGGGCTGGAATAGCTGGGGGCTGCGGGTCAGGAGTGAGGGGCACTAGCGGGGCTGGGAGGAGGGGCAGCCCAGGGCTGGAATAGCAGGGGGCTGCGGGTCAGGAGTGAGGGGCACCAGTGGGGCTGGGAGGAGGGGCAGCCCAGGGCTGGAATAGCAGGGGGCTGCGGGTCGGGAGTGAGGGGCACAGTGGGGCTGGGAGGAGGGGCAGCCCAGGACTGGAATAGCAGGGGGCTGCGGGTCGGGAGTGAGGGGCCCCAGCAGCGCTGCTGCTTTCATGTGTGTCGCACGCTGATGTCTCGTTCCGCTGCGTCGTGGAGGGCAGCCGGCTGTGGCAGTTCACCCTCCAATGGTCTGCACCCCGTCTGCATCGCCGCCCGCAGTCACACCTGCCTCTCCGTCCCAGAGCCGCTGCCGCCCTGCAAGGCCGTGGCTGGCGGCCCCGATCCGCTGCGGTTCCTCTGTGATTGGCGCTGGGCCGGCGGCACTGCACGTGAGCCCATGGGCAGGACGAAGATGTCGCCAAGACAACCCTGGCACACCAGCAGGAGCTGCCCGGATCCGTGTTTTCTTCTGGAGGCAGGCAGCTTCTCAGCCCCGTGGCAACCGCTGTCAGCCTCGCGTGAGCAGGTCACGTTCCTCCGGGGTCGCCCTCCATGCGCTACGGGTGATGGCAGCACATCGACGTTTGCCGGGGTGGGGGGGAGCCTGTGAGCCAACACACACTAAGTTCACGCTAACGAGCGGCTGGGACAGCCACTAATGATACAGGTGCGTGAGCTCAACTCCAAATCACCGAGATGAGTGTGCCGACTTCTGCCTCAAATTGCTGCGCGATATTCACCGGGACGGAGTGCGGACGGAGATTCCTAAACCATCCGCCTCTGCTCACAAGGAGGCTCCCGCTGGCTTCTGGATCAAGGCGATGGGGAGGCAGTGGGATGGCACCGGTATGTTAGACGTCTAAGTGGGTGACCCCTGGCTGGACTGGGCCTGGACAGTTCCCAGCACAGACCGGGGGGTTGATTGGCCAGGCGGTTGTTCAGATGGAAGGCTAGATCCTGTGAACTATCCACCCTTCAAGAAGGGCAAGAAAGTTGGAGCCGTTCAGGTGGACCCGTCAGCTGGGTAGAGCGTGTCCGGCATGTGGGGCTGACCCGCAAGCTGCTGCCGGTGCTTCCCTGTATGCGCAGAGTGCGGCTTCTCACGGAAGTGATAACGAACTGGAGCTTCACCTTGCAAGCCCGAGCCAAAGCCAGCCAGTTTAGGCGTCTCCGTATCCAACCCCTGCGAGATCCGGGCGAGCGCTTCTCCGTTTCAGCAGACACACTCGCGACCTACCAGCAGTTAAGGCCGATAAGTTCGTCTCCGCGGGTGCTGTCTGTCTGACTGATGGGGATAACGATCCACAGCCAGCGAAGGGCCACTCAGCCAGGACATGAATACTCTGGCCGCTTACCTTCGTCAGTGGAGACTTAGCCTAAGTGAGGCTAAGGTGGTGGCCACAGCCTTCCCGCGATGGCCAACCTGGGGGGACGCAGACAGGGCTGGGGCAGCAGGGGGCTGCGGGGCGGGGTTGAGGGGCCTCTGAGGCTGTACAGCTCCTGCCCCCAGTCACTCATTCCCTTGGCACTAGAGTCCCGTCTCCCCAGATAATGGTCCAAAGGGAGCTGGGCTGGAGCCCCTGACTCTGAGGGGGCCCCGCTGCCTCAGCAGATCGTGAAGTGGAACCAGAGGCCGAGTGCTGGGATTTTCAAGGGCAGGCTGGGCCTAGACTCGGATGCTGGCTGCTCCCGAGGCACTAAGTGCGGCTGGGTGGAGGTTTTCTCTAATCCCAGCGTCTCAGGCCCCACGTGCCCTGGGCCACATCAACAAATCCCCTGCAGTGCCTCAGGCTTCGTCCTCATCCCCAGGACCCACAGGGGGGACAGCGGCAGGAGTTGGAATGGGACCCCACCTCCTCTCCCAGAGCCAGTGACTAGAACCCAGGAGTCCTGGCTCCCAGCCCCCTGCTCTAACCACTAGACCCCACACCCCTCCCAGCATGAGAGGCAGCGGCCCAGAGGGCGGCGGGGGGGGGAGACAGACAAGGACGTAGGCTGTGTCTGTGCCAGCAGGAACAAACATCCCATCCTGCCAAGGGCAGCTGAGGCCAGGAAATGGGACAAGCAACGGGAAGCAGGGGTGGCTCGGGGGAGCCCTGGCTGGAGGTGGGGGGGCGGGAGCATCTATGCCCTGCTAGGCCTGCCCAAGTCCCCATGCTGCTCCTGAAGAAGGATGTTGCCCAGCTTGGGCTTGGGGGGAACATCTGGGCCATGTGGGGGGTCGCCCTCCCCCTGGCCGAGGGGCAGTGTCTGATCCTTGGGACCAGGGAAACACGGGTTTGCCAGCTGTTGGCAGGGTGGCGGGGAGAAGGTGGGTGGGGTCACGTAAAGGTAGGGCTGGGGGAAGCAGCAAGCTCCTGGGGAGGGGCTGGGCTGGTCAGAGCCCCCAGCAGGAGGCGCTGTCATTGCCTCAGCCGGGCTGTCCGCCTGATTGGCTGCCCTCTCCCAGGAGGGGGTTGTCCCAGTCACCCATAGCAGGGTCTGAAGCCCCAGCCATAGATGGGGCAGTGCCCAGATTCTCTTGCCCCCCCGTCACTGTGAGGCTGGTAAACTGTCCCCAGCTCCACCCCAGAGGCAGCTGCATCTCACCTCTGTGGCAGGAACGAGGCTACTAAAGCCCCTGGGTTCTGGCAGCGTAGGTGCCTGGGGATGTTCCTGGAGCGAGCAGCCAAAGTCTGGGGGCCCCTCCTGTGGCCCCAAATCCCAGCCCTAAGCCCTGGGGGAGAGGCTGGCTGGGGAGCTCTCTGTGCGGAGTTCATTTTGTGACCAGCAGGGGGCGCTGGGACACAGCGAGGGGCTTGGTGGTGGGAGAGGACACGTGTGTGTGTGTGTGTGTGAGAGAGAGAGAGAGCAGAGTTGGGGGGGTGAAGCCTGGGGGGGGTTGCGGGAGGGGCTTGGCTGGGTGTGTATCTGCAGGGTGCGCAGTGGGGAGGTTGTGGGGGGCTCTGGGCAGAGAGCCCACGACACTCATCTGGTACAGCCCCCCCCAGCTACGGCAGCAGAGACCCCTTTGTGCACAAACACCCGCCCCCTCGTGGCACAAGGCCACCGCCTGCCACTACCTCCACTCTGGGCAAGTCGTGCTGTCTCCAGGCTAGTGTGGACGGTCACCACAGCCCCTGATCCGCCCGCTCCCCATGTGCTCCCTCAAATGCCCCCCGAACACACAAATCCTCCCAGCCCTGTGGGAGTCCCCCACCCCCCCTTCCCGGTCACGCTCACTGTGGGGCTGGGGCATTTTAGAAGGTTCCCACTCTGGTGCCAATGGGGGTTTGCCGAGTGGGTCCCTGCTTGGTCTCCCCATGGGACACAGGGGGGAGGGGATTTACCCAAGCCAGGCCACCACCCCCCATCCTTAGCTCAGACTGAGCGACCCCCTCCCCAGCTTCAAGGCAGTTAATTTATCCCTTCCCCCCATGTAATGGGACACCCCCATTTAAATCAGCCCCCTTCCCCCAAATCCCAGACCCATCCAGTTGATTCCAGCTGGGCCTGGCTCTCCCCTAGGCTCTGTTCCTGCCTCCCACCCCGTTACTTTCCTAGAGAGGTGGGGGAGGCTGGAAGGAGCAGGCCCGGCCTCCCAGGCCCCCAACCCCAGATAATGCGGCAGCCCAGCCTGCTCCCCCCACCCCTATCCGAAAAACCCTGCTGGCCCCAGGAACCCGCCGTGCCCCTCCCCCGCCCGCTGCTGCTCCCACCCCTGAGCCAGCGGCAAGGTTGGGGATCAGGCCCAGAAAGGGGGTGACCAGTCCATAAACTGCAGAGTGGGGGGGCAGGGAGGGTTCCCACTTGGCCAGTATTGGACCCGCCTGGCTGGGTTTTTTATGGATATGCCAGTTGCCAGAAAAATCGTTTAATCTGCCGGGGGGGTGTGTGGTTTTTTTATGTGGGTCTAGAGATGTGCCTGATTCTCACTCTACACAGGGCTGGCGATGGCTCCGGTGTCTGTGGCCAGCTACAGGGGCTGTGCTGCCCCTCGGCCACCGCCTAAAATGATGCTCAATCTGTCTATCAAATTCATTTGGGCATAAATTTCTTAGTCTCTAAGATGCCACAAGGACGACTTGTTGTTTTCTCTGGTACAGACTAACACAGCTGCTCCTCTGAATCTTATCTATGTGCGTCCTCTCTCTACTCTAGATACAGTAAGTGGCTGTTGAAGGGGGGTTGCAGCATTGACTTGGGGTTGCGGCCGGCCTGTCTTGCGTGCAGGGGTGCCGGGGTTTTTGCATTTCAAAGGTCCTAGGTGGGGACTGACTTGGCCCTGTGCACCCCAGGGGATTGTGGGAGCAGCGCCTTGGGGAACCTGGCATGCCCGGGGCCCCCAACTCCCCCAGTCTGTGCAGAGCAGATGGACCGAGGGAGGCAGGGACTTGCCCAGGGTCACCTGGGGGTGGCAGAGCCAGGCCGTGAACCCAGGAGTCCTAGCTCCCATCCGTCTACATGGGGGGCTAGGAGGAGCCCCGAAGAGCAAGCAGATCCCTCTGTGGGGAGCCGGCGGCTGTGAACGCTGCTCGGTGACCCCTGCAGCCTCTTGCCTCTTCCAAGGTGCCCCAAGCCCTGTGCCTGGAGGGAGGCGTGGGGTCAGTTGCTGCAGGCCCTGGGACTGGGCCCAGACCTAGTGTGACCTTGGTCGCCTGCCCCTGGCGTGGGAGGCATTTGAGCTCTGTCCCGATTCCCACATGACACAACTGCCTAAATTCATAGACTACATGGCCCTGGGTCTCCCCTGCGCCCCTGGCCTCTTCCCCCCCAGGCCCCAGGCCTCCTTCCCGCCCCCTCAGTGCCCTGGGCCTCTTCCCCCCCTTCCCACTCCCGTGCCCCAGGCCTCTTCCCCCCTCCCTGTTCCCCGGGCCTCCTCACACCCCCAGCACCCCAGGCCTCTTCTCCCCCCCCCCCGAGCCCTGGGCCTTCTTCCCCTGACCCCGCAGTGCTCCGGGCCACACACAGCGCCCCGGGCCTCCTTCCATCCTCCCTCCCGCAGCGCTCTGGGCTTCCTTCCCCTCACCCCCAGCACCCCAGCCACAAACCCCTGAACTCCTTCCAAAGACCCATGGAGGCTCCCCCCAAGGGAGGCTGTTAGCTTGCGGGGAAGGTCACGCTGGTGCCTTTCCTCCCACACCAATGGAAAAACAACCGAGGAGATCACCGCCCAACAGGTGCCAGGGGGTCGTGCCCACCCTGCCCGTCTCATCCTGCAAACTGTGATGGGGGTGGGGGGGCAGCATGGGGGCAGGGAGGGGGGAGTTGAGCAACAATGAGCCAGGAAATCTGCAACATTCGCAGGCGACTGCAACCGCCGCGCCGGGGATGTAACAGCTGGGTCCCACCGCAACCGCAGGGACACACTGCTGCACACACGCACAAACACACCCCCACTCCTTTCCCTGCCAGCATACACCCCGCCCACCACACGCGCACGCATGCTTCCTCGCAATCACAATCAGATGCACCTCGTAAATCCTCGACCAGCCGTGCGGGGGAGAAGGGGCGTAGCAACACGCGTGGCCAGCTCGAGGGCTCTGTGCAGGGGACACGCTGTAATCCGGCCACGGGTGGCGGCGGTCGGGTGCTGTGGTTGAGCTGGGTATGTGTGGGGAGGGGTCTGTCTCCTGGGCCGGGCGGTGTGTGTGTGTGTTTGTGTGGGGAGCAAAGTGTAGGAGTGTGTGGTTGTGAGGGGATGAATGATTGTAACAGCCTCTGTGACTGTGAGCACGTGCGTGTTGTGTCAGGGCACACACCTGTGGGGGGGGGGTGCTGTTGGTGTGTGCGGTTGCGAGGACCTCCGTGATTGTACCTGCTTCTCCCTGACCGTGCTGGAGGGGGTGTCATGGGGGGGGCGGCATGGAGTGATTAGAGCACACGCCATTGGGCGAGCATGTTAGGCAGCAGGACACGGGTGCGGGGGTGGAGCCGCGCCGCGGGGTGGGGGGTCGAGAGCAGCACACACATGTGCGGGGGTGGAGCCGCGCCGCGGGTGGGGGGGGGGGTCGAGAGCAGCACACACGTGTGCGGGGGGTGGAGCCGCGCCGTGGGGTGTGTGGGGGGGTCAAGAGCAGCACACATGTGTGCGGGGCGTGGAGCCGCGCCGCGGGGTGGGGGGGGGTCGAGAGCAGCACACACGTGTGCGGGGGTGGAGCCGTGGGGTGGGGGGGTCGAGAGCAGCACACACGTGTGTGGGGGTGGAGCCGTGGGGTGGGGGGGTCGAGAGCACACACGTGTGTGGGGGTGGAGCGCGCCGCGGGGTGGGGGGGTCGAGAGCCGCACACACGTGTGCGGGGTGGAGCCGCGCCGCGGGGTGGGGGGTCGAGAGCAGCACACACGTGTGCGGGCGTGGAGCCGCGCCGCGGGGTGGGGGGGGTCGAGAGCAGCACACACGTGTGCGGGGGTGGAGCCGTGGGGTGGGGGGGTCGAGAGCAGCACACACGTGTGTGGGGGTGGAGCCGTGGGGTGGAGGGGGTCGTGAGCAGCACACACGTGTGCGGGAGTGGAGCCGCGCCGCGGGGTGGGGGTCGAGAGCAGCAAACACGTGTGCGGGCGTGGAGCCGCGCCGGGGGGTGGGGGGAGTCGAGAGCAGCACACACGTGTGCGGGGGTGGAGCCGCGCCGCGGGGTGGGGGTGGGGGTCGAGAGCACACACGTGTGCGGGGGTGGAGCCGTGCCGCGGGGTGGGGGTGGGGGTCGAGAGCAGCACACGTGTGCAGGCGTGGAGCGCCCGGGGGGTGGGGGTGGGGTTCGAGACAGCACACACGTGTGCGGGGGTGGAGCGCGCCGCGGGGTGGGGGGGGGGTCGAGAGCAGCACACACGTGTGCGGGCGTGGAGCCGCGGGGTGGGGGGGGTCGAGAGCAGCACACACGTGTGCGGGCGTGGAGCCGCGGGGTGGGGGGGGTCGAGAGCAGCACACACGTGTGCGGGCGTGGAGCCGCGCCGCGGGGTGGGGGTGGGGGTCGAGAGCAGCACACACGTGTGCGGGCGTGGAGCCGCTCCGCGGGGTGGGGGTGGGGTTCGAGAGCAGCACACACGTGTGCGGGGGTGGAGCCGCGCCACGGGGTGGGGGTGGGGTTCGAGAGCAGCACACACGTGTGCAGTTGTGGGTCTGCACAGCAGGGGGCGTTTGCGGGTGCGGAGCCGCGCCGTGGGGGGCCTGTGGTTGTGGGGGGCTGAGGGGTTGTAACCAGCACACGCTGGCACGTGACTGCAGTTGGGTAAGCGTGTTGTGTAAGGGCACGCCTGTGCTGGCTGGGGCATGGCTGTTGCTAGGAGGTGCCCGGTTCCTGCCCCGGGGGGGGCGTTAAGTA